ATGATACGAAATTATCCGACTGCGATTGGAGGATCTTGCCAACTTAGCCTATAGTTATTGGCTCCAGCGTAACATGGCAGAACACTGACGTCATGGCGAGCATGGACTTCTATGCGCTTTTTTAGCGACTGAGGTGTAGGTATTCTTGGCCCCAACAAGGCTGCAGTGTGATATTTGAAGAAGAAGAAAAATTTACGCTCTGAAGACTGCGATTGGTTGTAGTGTCTTCCGACGTCTTGCTGTACTGTAATACGAATACTTGCATTGAAAGTACATAGATGTTTTTGCGTTACCCAAACTCCAGGTGTACGCAATTAAGCGACCACCAAGCGGGCGGCGATCGAGAAAGGCAGCCAAATACCCTCTATGCAAATAATCACTGTACCGCGATAAATTATACTCACAGCAAGGGGTTCTCTCAACTTAAAATATAGAAGACTTTCGCTTCTCAGAATTAATTTATACGTCAAAAGGATTTGTGGACGGATTTCTATCGTACGCAGAGTACCGGTATCTTTTGGTGGTCGCTTAATTGCGTACACCTGGAGCCAAATTAGGTTGTGCACAGTGTTCCAACTCTTGATCATTTACTAGGTATTTTCGGCTTATTTTTATCGTATTGTAAGAGGCCCTTCATCTACAAGTCAGCCTCAACTAACATATTATTCATTAAAGAAAAACTATCTATTTATTAATTGTGGCTCTTCGACCGAAATGCCACAAAGGAATTGACTTGGGTAGTGAGCTGAAACATAGCACTGGCAAGTAGATCATATCTAGTAGATAAACTGCCAACCTGGCAATTCGATCCAGCCTGAGTAGAAACCGCGAGTGCCCTATCGTGCCTCGGGTAGAGGTTCTTAAGCATGGCACATCCAGCCTGGATATGCATCTCGACCCGGCTATCGAGTCCTAAGAGAAACTCGATATAGCTGAAGAAAACGCTCGATAAGACGGCAAGCTCTAGACTTTGGTAAGATCCATCAAGCCGACGATTGAGATCCTGGACGGCCATGCTATAATGTCGAATTGAGAACACGATAGCCGGGGGTGTTTGCCATATGTCAGGATAGTAACGGCTGCTGGCTAAGGCCCCGATTGCTAGGGCCGCATGATGCAATGCTGGTTCGACGAGAGTGCCTTGGAGGATGATGTTTTTCCATGCGGGGAGCTCGAAAAATAAAGAGAATTCCCCAGCACAAACGACTTGGAAGTACTCCATGTGCTTATGTTCGCCATCCAGTAAAGGCCTGGCAGAAGGGTATCGCAGACTATGGATGGGCGGAGTCATCGCGTACTGCGGTGCTTTAGATAGAGACGACGAGACGAAGTCACATTTCCAGCGCGCTCTGATGCAGTTTGAGCAAGCTGGCCTCGCCTCATCGCACTTCTTATGCCTGATTCTACTGCAAGATTGACAAGCTGATCCAACTGGTTACGGGCGGAGCCCACTCACTTGCATGTCAAACATCCCGTGCTGACTTTCCGAACCCCCCGAGCGCCATGGCGTGATTTCCTTGTCATTACTGGACCGGTACTATAGTGACTCAAATCATGACGAAGGATTGCTCTGCGTGGCTGTTGAAGCAGAGGAGCGAGATCCAAGAGGTGTTACGAGCGAGAGAGAAATAATTCAGGCGTAGACTAAGATAAGGCCACCTTTGGCCATCTTGATAGGCTGCAGCGTAAGTTGATGCACGCTAATGCCGGTTGGAGAATAGCGGGTCCTCTTAAAACAAGTTTGTCATCGGCCGCACTTTCGAGCGCCTAAGTCGTAATTCCTAGCTGAATAAATATTTTATGAAACAATTCCCGTTATCTCGTGAATAAGTAGTCATAGAGTTCCCTTATCACTTAGTCGCTTGCCATGTCGAGTAAAGAATTCAACTAAATTAGGAGCAAGGAGAAGGTCCACGCCCGCGTGAACTATCTATCGGCCCGAAAAGCCGATTGAGCATACACCAGATATGCACGAGGGATTACTACGCTTTTATTCTCCCTACCTAGCCAATAAGATATACCGCACATGCTTTAGAGCGCCAAACAACCGAATTGAGCATATGCGCGAAGGAACCCCAAGCTGTGATTCTTCTACCTAGCCAATAAGCTACTTGTTACAAAGTCGAACCCAGTTGGTTTTTTTGTTAAAGATTAGCGGTGAAACTCCCTCGGCTCCACCTTTTCTGGGCCGTAAATTGTTCTTAGCCAATCACGCTAATAATATATAAGCTTCCTGCATATCGATGCCGACTAACGGGGCTGAGCATCTGCACGAGGCCCAACTAAGCAGCCCAACTAAGCAGCCCAAGCCATGATTCTCCTACCTAACCAATAAGCTACGATTTGCACAGTCGACCCTGTGGTTTTTAGTTTCAAAGAAGCAAGTTGATTAGTCCTTCCCTCACCCGAGCCCCCTTCTTTTGCTAAGCCGTAAATTATTCTTAGCCAATCATGCCATTAACATATGAGGCTCCTGAATTTCAATGCCGCCGACTAATGGGGCTGAGCAGCTGCACGAGAGGCTGCCAAGCCACCCCACTACGCAGCTAAGTAGCCCAAGTTATGATTCTCCTACCTAGCCAATAAACTACGATTTAAAACGTCGACCCCGTAGTTTTTGGTGGCTCGAGGATGGACGTCGTGCAAAAGCAAATACATGCTAGCCGTAAATTCTTCTTAGCCAATAAAATATACCGCCTATGCTTTGGAGCGCCCAGCAACAGGGTTGAGCATATGCACGAGGGACTACCAAGCTGTGATTGTCCTACCTAGCCAATAAGCTGCGATTTGCACAGTCGACCCCGTGGTTTTCGGTGAGTCGTGGCCTTTGAGCCTCTAAGTGACTTCGGACTGTTGAGTCGTAATTCTCCAGGCTCGGGCTCTATGAAGCCCAAGAGGCTTTGAGGATGGCTGAGTCTAGGGCGCGTCACGGGACCCTATTTCCCCCGCAGCCGTACACTCTACCCCGCTACGAAGCGAAAATGCTCCCATACCCCTAAAGATAATAACTTTAATTCTTAAGAGAAAAAAACCGCAAAATCTTTTAGGATAAATCGTTTCCAAGTTCTAGGAGGGCCGGATGTCTCCGATAGGGGGGAATAGGGCCCTATGACGCGCCCAAAGAGGGAGGGAGAGGAGGGAAGGTGGTGAGGGGGAGGGGTTCACGATGGAAGTAATGTCTCAGGAATCCTCAGGGCGATGTTCGACATCGGTCTATCTCAATATCATTTGCTTTATTTGGGGAAAAGGGAGTAGGGGTTCGCACCACGTTACCTGAAAATATAGCCTACTAACTAGATCCTCGAAAATTTGTTAAAGGCCAGTCTAGCAAAAGCGTGCACCTTTTGATGCACCGCCAAAAAAAAACTCTCGCACGTGCATTTGCATTTATGAAATGCTTAAATTAATGCAATTCTGTCTGGATAAAACCTGAATATGAGCACTTATCCTCGCATTTCCTATTTTCAAGAAGTGCACTATACAAATAAGAAATGTGTAGAAATCGGTCACTTTTCCTCGCACTTGAATCTTTTTACACATGATGCAACCACTGTCTTATTTAGGTACGTGTTACTACGCTTATTCAGCCCTTCCTATTACTCTTACTCCTCCACCAATAACGGTCACGTAATCGAAATCTTGTAGTGTTGACAGTAGAATTAGGAGCTACTATAGGTGCTCGCTCTATACTACTCCTCTAACTTTATTCCCCTTGCCATTCTAGCTAGCGACTAGTATTTGTATTAAACTTAGGGCAGGGGAAGTTATAGCTAAAGAACTAGGAGTCTTGGCCTTCTTAGGCTAAGAGCCCTTGATCTTAGGCGCGATCGTATTAGTAGTGGTTATGATGAGAGGAGAATCGAGTGCAGTAGGGCTTTGCAACGCATTGCGATAAATAGGTGGGATTCTCAAATTTATCGCATTTCTAGCTAGCATTAAAAGATGCAAGCCAGACGCTCAAAATTGGCTGCGACGCACTCTCAGAAGTGCGTAGTTTCGCATTCACTAAGATGTGCATCTTATCCAGACCGGCCCTTATAAGTCTCCTCCACAAGCCAAATCCCGAAATAGATAAAGTTTCAGCCGCAGTTTTGCCACTTAGCCAATCAAAAATATATTAACAGGCCGAGCCCAAGTTTTCTAGCGTAGCTTAGGCGCCCATGGCTAGTCACATGACTTTCTAGCTGCGCTCGCTGCTAAGCCGTAATTTTCTCTACCTCGGCTTACTCCTCGACTTCCAAACCCAGCTCTATGTATAGCAAATGACACTATCCACCCTCGCAGCTTTTTCTTTGTTCCACCTGCTTTGTCCTAGATTCAAGAGTACGTTCTCCTCCCTTATCTCCGACCTAGTTACTAAACCCTAGCTACTTCTTCCCCTATCATCTGCTCCTATTCCCAAGTCTCCCCGTGTTAGGTCGACCTCGATAATAACCTGAACCGAGCAGGGAGGGGGGATACTTTTTACTCTACTTTATAAAATAGAAGTTATGTCGCTTGCTCACCAGCAGCAGTCCATCGCGCCGGAGGATCGTAAAATAGGAGGGACCCAGGGCTTAAGAAGTGAAGTCTAGTGGCGAAGGCGTGGATATGATTAAAATTCGGTGGAAAGGCGGATCTTGAGGATTTCCAAATTGCTTAGTGGGTGAGATGGATATGATTTGAGTCAAGAGAACAGCTTTGTTAGTTATGAACGAAAGTCATATGAATTATAAGAACAGTCAGATTTGAAGGTAACAATGATTCTGATTATAATATCTGGGGGACTAAGAGAGGCCTGACAAAGAGGTGCATTATATACTATTGATCAGAGCTAGTCTCAAGAGGGAGAACAAAGGGGAGTTATCTGTGATGCCAACTAACAAGCTTGATATAAGTACCGCTAAGGCGGGATCTTCCATAATATTTTGAGAGAGTTAAGTAACTAGACTCTGAGCCCCCGCCCCCCAACAAAAAAAAAGAGAAAGAACAAAAAAAGGTTCAAAAAAGAGAATCGTGTGGTCACTACGAGGGTCGAACTCGCGACCTTGGCGTAATCATTGAAGTATTAGCACCACGCTCTAACCAACTGAGCTAACTGTGATGTTGTTAGAAATGCGGAAGCTGTTAAGTGTTCTGTGAAACTTACGCGACCGTTGAATTATTTGATGGGGAGAGATCGCTTATTTAATTTCATATCCTGCGGACATCTTAGCGAAAATCTTAGCGAAGCTGGGTCATGTGATGAGCTAAGGCTTGTGCTTGCAGAAAACGACGTATTCATTCTTAATGTCCCAAGTCACGCTGGACATTCATAGGCTTCCACAATAGATCTACTCGCCTCTTAATAGACATTCAGAATGTACTTCTCGTGCCATGCAAATGTTAACATTTTGATATAATTCCAATAGATCTGGAAGAGATTCTCCGAGTTTCCATCTCTTAAGTTACCACCTCAGCATGGGTCTTAATTGCTTCTGCCACAGCAGGCGTCTTTATTTTATTTTATTTTATCATATTATATTAACAAATAGGAACTAGCAACCTGATCAGAATTCAGCACTTGCAGAAAGCACTTTTATTTGAGGAAGTGCAAATTATTTCACATCACACACTTCACGGTAGTCATTTATCAGCAGAAGATCGCAGGCAAAACAATCCAATCCGTTGATCTCAAATTACAATACTCTAAGCAAGGCGGGTACCAAAACCCAAGTACCGCAGACCCTCCCAACTCCAAACATATAAACAAGAAGGCGCACGCCATCCCATCCATCTCATTACAGGCTCCGACAGAGACTCTATAGATCCTCTATGCTGCACTAGCAAGGATCATCTCTGCCCCTCCACACCTTACAGACAAGGCGGAAGATCACGCCATGCGATCCACAAGCTCGTACCGCTCCTTCCCACTCAGCCTCCTCCACAGCCCTCGTTTGCCCTTGCTGCCAACCATGCCGCGCATCACCCACATGCTCCACAGACTCCAGAGACAGACGCCCACCACGCCCGCGATCGCGAACCCGGCAACGGTGAGCAGCAGCCAATGTTTGCCCATCCAGAAGATCGTCTGCGCGTCCTTGCCGTGCCAGCTGCTGCCGCGCGAGATGTTGAAGAAGCTCCACTTAAACCCCTTATACTCATCCGGCATGAGGATCCGCACATGCTCATCTGCTGGGCGGGGCGTGTCCATGTATTCTTTCCATATGACGGAGAGGAATAGGGGCCCGGTCGAGTACATGACGGTGATATATGGCATGGCCCAGTTCCGGTTGTAGCCTGACAGGCTCTCGATTACGCGGAGGAAGAACGGGTGTTGGGGCACGGAGCCCATAGCGTCGTTGCTGATTCCTGTTGGTACGGTACGCCGCACCCATGCTGGGTACGAGAGTAGGGGGTCGAGACGGCGGTTGCAGCCGTCGTCTAGATCGATGTAGATCCCGCCGTAATATGCGAGCACGAAATATCGGATGGCGTCGGCGCGCTGGATGGGGAAGCGGTAGCTATCGAAGGTGGAGAGGAACCAGGGGTATTCTGCGCTGATGAACTCGCGGGACTTGTCGTCGGTCCATAGCTACTCTAACATCAGCCCAATTCTTCGCCTCTGTAAGAAGAGGAACTTACCTTATATTCGTAGTCGTGATGCAGGTCCTTGCAACTCTGCTGTCCAGCCTGCCACTGTGCGGGTATGCTCTCGTTTATGTAGGTCTGGTGGATGATCTTGGGGATCAACTGCGTTCTATTGTCGATAAGTTCTGAACCCGGAGCAGGGATCTCGGGAGGGTGGATGGCATCGCTGGAGCCGTCTTCGAAGAGGAGGCCGATGAGTGTGGAGAAGGCATTGAGGAGGAACCCAATGACGAGGAGGTTGATAACGAGGAAGATGATGGTGCCGCGGCGCATCTTGAAGATTTTCCCAGCAGCGTGGGCAAGAGGAGCAATCGTACAAGAGGACTTTCGTAGATTAAGTCTGCATCGAGGAAGAGGAGGGTTATAGAGTGTCGTAGGGTCGAGAGGGTACGACTCGTTCTGCGCGGTCGTCCAAGCTGCCAACCCGATCCTCACTGCTCTTCGAGGCCGTTAAATTTGTGCAAAGGAACGTCTTCTCGTCAATCGCAAGCCGCACGTCGGAAAGGATAAAAGGATTGTAGAGAAGAGGAGGCGGAATTGGGAGGTTGGTGTGGAGGAGGTGATGAGCAAGTGAGGAAGTGAGGTCAAGTGAGGTCGAAATTGTGGGCAAGGGTCGCGCGCAGATTTCTCTTATCAATTTCCAGGGCACCAGCTCGGCTCCGACTTGACAGAACTCGCGGGCCGCGATGAAGTCCGCCTCCGTCCTCCGCTGCCGCTGAGCCCAGTTTAACTCGCGATGCACGCACTCTATACCGCATGCAGCAAGGCACGGGAGTTTGTCAGCCCTTTAGCAATGCTTCTCACTGGCTCGCTCATCGCTGGCATCCGGACCCGAGGTGGCACTCTGCGCGGGCGCTGGTTTTGGGCGTGGTCGTCGTCAACTAGGGGACCAGCCATTGGAGGGTGCGAAGGCACGACGCGTGGCCAGCCCATGGGCCACTTAGCATGCGCAAGTGTCATGCTGACGGCCCACCTGATTGTCGGGATGGGCTGGCATTTATGCTTATCTGAATTGCTGCATAATGAGGTAGCACAGGTGGAGGGGCAGCAGCGCGGGATGTATTCATGGCTCTGGATCCAGTGGAGGGGTACCAGTGTCATTCCGCCTACATGTTGAAGGTGTAATCAGATGGGCCGAGGATACAAGTCGACTAGATAACTGGTTTTGGATGACATAAGGTCGCCAATGGCAGAAAATGGCTTGTATGCACGTTCTGTGTATGTCGGTCGCCTCGTCTCACGGCAAGGTCGGCTGAGATGATGAGATGCGGGTTCTCGATTTAGTAAATGTCCTTTGGCATCCTTGGCGAGGGTTCAGGGAGAGACTTTGACGAGTTCGTACCCTGTATCGGGTTGGGAGCGAGGAAAGCGAGGAAAGCGAGAACGAGCTTATCCCCTCGTCCGGTAAGACATTGCTAGCGTTGCAGGTGGCGCGCGCACAGACAGCACAGCATAAAATTATGTACCCCCGCATACAAATTTATTAGTAAGATACATCGTTTTCGTGTTGCGCGTCCAGTCGCGCTCCAATCATGCCTTCTACGTATGCGCTCACTAATGGCTAAAACACGCCAACCACCTAAACAACCAAAGAAGCAACAACCAAAGAAGCAACAACCAAAGAAGCAAAAAGCCAAGTCCCTTAAGGATATACTACGTCAGCTTGGCCCAATCGCAAACGTTTCTTACCAGCCTTTCAAGCCCGAGTCTAAACGGCCAGCACAAGCTCTCTTACCTACTTCCTTTCCTCGCAACGCGCACCCGTTCGACTACTTTAGCTTATTCTTTACCCACGATCTTTTCCGAACGATCACGACGAACACCAATCAATACGCGGGCATACAGCAGATACACGTGCCACAGGAAAGGGTGCGGGGATGGACGAATCTGCTGGTAGAAGAGTTATATGTTTTCATCGGATCGATCATATATATGGGGGTTCACGAGGAGCCGCAGGCTGAGATATATTGGAATACAGACTTCAACAAGGGCCCTTTACATTCGATTTCAAGTCACATGTCGCTCTACCGCTTTGAGCAAATCAAGCGTTTCTGCCATATCTCTTGCCCTGAGAGTGACGAAAGAGAGGGGTATCACTTACCTTCTAATAAGAAGTGGTGGTATAAACTTGAACCTCTAGCTTCGTCAATTCAAGCTTCTTCTCAACGATACTACTCTCTATCTTCTGAAGTGAGTATTGACGAGCTTATGGTACGGTGCTTTGGCAGGCATGACTCTCTTTCTCCCCTCTCTTTTACCCCGCAGCCCCGCTAATTCCTCTAGATCCCTCCATATATACAAGATGCCAAAGAAGCCGATAAAGCAGGGGTATAAGATCTATGGAATCGCGGATCACGGATATATCTACAACTGGCTTTGGAGCTCCCGAGAGTTAAAGTTACAAGAGATGGTCCTTCATCCAGATCTGACTCCGACTGGCTGTCTCGTACGGGCCCTTGCACTCTCTCTTCCACGTCGACACCTTACGATATACCTCGATAATTACTTCACGTCTATACCCTTATTTGCAGAACTACGAGCTTGCAACTTCGGCGCCGTCGGCACTACAAGGCCGCACAACGAGTTTCCTCATGGTTTAGCAGAGCTCAAGAATCGGTTCGCCACAAAGCTTGAGTGGAATACTCTTCTAGCGGCGGTAGTTGATGAGGTTCTTTGCTTAGCCTGGCAGGATAATAATATTGTCCTTGGCTTGAGCAATATCCATACGGTGGATAAGGCAGATGACTTTATAGAGAAGGCCAGAAAGCGTCCTGCAAAGACGTCAACAAATGGGCGAATCGTGAGAAAGGTATTTGGGGATGATTATGTAAAGGAATTACAGATCCCTCGTTTTATCGACGACTACAACCATTATATGGGAGGCGTAGATCTTGCGAATCAATTTAGGGAGGCGTACGAGACTCATAGGCCTACCTTTAGGAATTGGTGGCCCTTGTTCTACTGGCTAATCGATGTAGCTTGTATAAATGCTTACAGGCTATATCGACTAAGCACATCAAGTGAACGCCCTCTTCCGCACTTACAATTCAGAATACAGCTTTATCGTAAGCTCTTCAGTTATTCTGAGAAGGCACAGCTAGAGAGCTTGCGAGTAGGGCTAGGGGGTAAGAGGGTGTTTAATCCTGATCTTTTGCACGTACACTACTGGAAGAAACGCCCTAAACAAGGCACTTGCGCGTGGTGTTCGTATCGACTAAAGTGCGAAAAGCTCTTAAATAAAGGGGTAAAGGGTACAGCAAAACGCTCAGTTAGGGGGTGCTTCTTTTGTGATGTGCCGCTGTGTAGAACTGGGGACTGCTAGACGCGATACCATACAAATGATGTATCTTACTAATAAATTTGTATGCGGGGGTACATAATTTTATGCTGTGCTGTCTGTGCGCGCGCCACCTGCAACGCTAGCAATGTCTTACCGGACGAGGGGATACGGCGCTTAGTGGCAGTCATGATACG